GGGAAAGCTCAGGTGTGAAGTTTGAGACCTGGACAAAGTCCACTCAGACACCACTGGGCACTGCAAACTGAATGGCTCCGAGCACACTTCTGGTGGGCTGACACCTGCCTCAGCAAAGGCACAGAGGATGGTGAATGAGACCCATGGGATTGAGAGACATAGCTATAAATGAATTTTCCTTTAAAGTATTTTCTAATTTGTTAGAAAATGTGCTTTTTGGTTCAGAATAAAAACATCCTTTTTGTATTGTCTCTAACTATAGATCATGGGAATATATTTCTTCTGCCTGCGGATGTGTTTTTGAACTAGCCAATCTGCTTTGAACTCAAGATCAAGGAAGGACTTAGACAAGGGGTCAAAGGCAGGGTGTTACTGAGTCACCCTTACTGATGTGTTCATTAAATTTTTCTTTTAGCTGTTTGTTTTCTGAGAAGTGGTCTAACACCATAGCCCAGGCTGGCCTCAAACCCGATCCTCTACCTCCACCTTTGGAGAATTATTGGTGAATTAATTTTCTTTACTCTGTAATAGTTTGAGATGTTACCAGCTAAACTGATTTTTCTCTCCCCATTTAATATGTGGGACAGATTGGTAGAATATGCATTTGCCATATGGAAATGAGAGCACTGCATACAAGTCATAGATGGAGTTGCCCATCATTGTATCTGTTTGTCTTTGCAGTCCTCATGGAATTAGTGGAGTAGACATTTTCTCCATTTGTAACTTGTCTCAGAATTTGAACTCAGTGGACTCACTGAATCATGTCTTATGTCACAATATTTTCTCGCATCAGAAAAATGTATGCAGCAACTGGAATAAAATGGAGACCCACAAATTGGCCTTATTGTCGTCATAGGGGTACACTGTCATCTAGAGACAGAACAACTGGCTTCCAAATTCGACCTGCCCTTCACTCAGCTCCAGAGATGCCCTTTTGCACCTCACAGAACACGGGCTGTGTGGTGCTCACTGTGGTATCTACCAAAGCCCAGAGGTATATTAAGAGCAAATGCATCTGCATGCCACATGCTGGCATCTGGCAGGTGTGCCTGCTGCCATTCTCAGGTTCCAATTAGCTGGCTGTCTGGACTAGAGCACTCACACCTGTCAGGTTCTTTCGAAACCTTCACTTTCACAGGCTTTCAACCTCAATGAGACACACTTGGCTACAAGCAACGTTTACCCTCTAACTTGCTTAGGATGACTCTCACTCTTGGTCCTTTCTCCCCAGAATGGCATCTCAGGTTGGATGATGAGATCTTCAGTGGGTAGGGATGGGGGATACCAAGTGTCACCAGGATGTGTAGAGTCCCAAGGGAAGAGGTGGGGGCTGCAAATGGCAATCCCATCAGTGAGATGTGCTGGCCTCTCTGCGTTTGGGATTAGGTGTGACTTTAGTAGTTCTCCTAGCAAAACAACCTCTAGCATGTGCACATACAGACTTAATAAGGGTATTTGGCAAAAAAATCAAGCTAGAAGTATTACTAACTTTCATCGATGGCAGAATCCACCATGAGCCCCAGTGCTGGCTCTCAGACTACAGTGTGTATTATGTAAACTAAAGCCTGTACCTCTTATGGTGACATCAGTACTGCACAATGGCTTTTCCACTTCATCTTCTTCAGTCCCCTACAAATAGATGTGTAGAGGGAAATGTCGCCCTGCAGCCTTCCCAGTCCCTGCCACTTCAATGTGGAAGCTACAGGGCTCTAACTTCCCAGCAACATATGCCCAAACCTGTACATGACACCGAATGTTGTACCTAGAGTCCATTCATACCTCCCACGTAAGTTGCAAAAACATCCTACATCCCCAGGACTGGGTTGGAGGCTCCTAGTTTCTGAGTCGAATGGCCATTTATAAAAAAAAAAGCAGCAGGAGGCAGTTCTTAAGGAGGTTTTCCCTTGTTATTGACTTGCCTTAAATCAGGCCATTTTCTGGTAGGCTTCTATTCCAGGAAGGGCATCCACAGAAAAGAAGTTGAGGTGTCTCGCTAAGGCTGGGGACCCACATTCAGGTACCACTTCTCATCACCATGAAGGCCTGTACACTGCCTCTGTGTCGTGTGAGGGAGCCTGCCTTCATTTCAGACAGCTATGGCATCCTCACCCTCTTTGGAGATGAGTCAAGAGCAGCCTGAATTTGTGTTGGCCTTGAGAGCAACCCTATTGCTCCTGGTCTGAAGTAACGAATACATCTAGAGGGGACTCCTGCAATTAAGGCTCCAAGAAACCTTTAGAAGCTCATGTAGTGTTCATGAAAAACCCATCACAAGAGATGAAGTTTAACGTCCCTCTGATCACAGACTACCACTTCTCCCTTACCATCTGGATCAGGAGATTATTGAGAAAGTCTCTCTTGCACACATGCTTTTTATCTGGGGTCTCATATTATCACAGTCTACTGCCCATATGTAAAATATAACTCACCTGAATGACAGCCACCACTTCTAGCACACAGGACTGCTTGCTCCTTGCCACCTCCTCTGATTTGCGTTGACCAGCCAGCCCCTCTCTGAAGGCCTTCCTCAGCAGCTGTGGGGGTGGAGTACCAGGGCCAGTATGGGTTCTTTGGCCCAGGAGGCCAATAGCTTCCTTTCTAAGACTCTTTTACAAGATTCAGGCCTGTTCCCAATCTTCAGTTCATTTCCCCAGGTGTAAAACACTCAGGGCCATCTTGCAGTTTACCATGGCTTCCTTCATGTTTGGCCTATCTGTTGATAGGCACTGTGTTCAACATTTGAGACCCATCACCTCATCCGAGTCTCAGCAATTCCGTGGAACAGGTTCCAACATTGTGCCCAGCTTAGCAGATATATCCAGAAAACTAGATCTATAAGTTACACAGGCCAAGAAAGCAGTGCTGAGGGTCCAGAACCTATGTCTGGTCCATTTTAAAGCCCATGGTGATAACTAGACTGATAACCCTGCAGCAGCTACAGCTGGTGAGTGTAAAAACACCCAACTAGTGCCAACAGTGAGGCTCTCCGGCTTTCAGTGGTTAAACTTTGTTCTGCTATTTCAAAGAGGTAGCTAAGAAAAAAAATTGCTAAAGTAGACATAAAAACCCTGACTCCGAAACTTTTGAGACCAATTTAAAAACAGAATTTACATACTAAATGGCTTCTTTCATAGTTCTGAAAGTATAGCAATGATTCCGTTGTTCAAAGCACTTTTAGATTTCTACTTGTGTAGCATCAATGCTTGTTTACAAGAAAATCAGTCCCATAAAATAAGTCACACCTTGTATTTTTGGTAGACTTAGGTTGAAATGGTAAGGGTACTGAAATCAAAGTGGGACAATACAGAAGCTTGTTTCACAGGTGTCAGCAGTGTACCTCCCAAAGCAGGACAGCACAACCAGCAAGTGCTGTTGTGTAGTCCATGACTGACATGCTGGTTCTCCTTTCTCCAATGAATGGTTGAACCTCAAAGGGGTTTCAGAAAGCTGACATGCTAGTCAAACACAGTAGAAAAACTAAACATTGCAGAATCCAGGGGAGAATCATTTTATAACACCAAATTTTCAGGGGGTTGGGGGAAGAGGAAGTTTTGAGATAGAATATGGCTATTTTAAGCCCAGACTGGCCTCTAACGGCAAACTCCGAGATCCTCCTGCCTCATCCTTCTGAGTGGTGGGATTACAGAGAGCACCACTGTATCTGGCGAATACCACATCTTTATACTGGAGTTTCTCAGTGCCAACTCCTGCTTCCACCTTACCGGATGCCATGCCATTCAGCAGTGCCTATAATGGAAATACTCTTTACAACTGGTATCGAAAAAGCTAACCAATGTTTTCCCTTAGAAATAGTAAATCCATGGATATTGAAGAGCCATGATTTTTATTTTGCAAAGACATCTTTAAAATCATCAAAACTTATCTTCAGTCATCACTCTAAAGATAACTGAAGCTCAGGACATCGGTATACTGTGAAGTCTACTTTGTCTTTTTCAGGAAGTCATTTTGCAAATTGCACAGCTTTATTTGAATTTCCAATGTTCACTTCTACTATAGAAATAAAAATATCACTAAGAGGAAATAAAGTAGAGAGGAAAAAAATATGCATGTTTTTGATCTAAGGTCTGGCATTGACTTTCGGAATGTTACAGGTTTGGGAAGGCCAGTGCCAGCACTGCCTAGACTAGCCCTTCCTCCTTGGGGTCAGAAGGACAGCCACGCCCCATGTCCCATGTTTAAGAAGAGGCTGATGTTCACAGTCTCTTCCTGGTCAGTCCCTCCTGAATGTAACACAAGGAAACGATTTTAGAAAGTGATAAAAGGAATCCAGAGGCCAGGCCTTTGGTGAGATAAAAGTGCGTTTAAGAGGTCAGTCAGAAAGACTGCAGCCGTCCACCCCTGCATCCTGGGAGCTGACAGTGTCTTTTATGGAATTCAGTGGTCAAGAAAGAAAAAGCTCTGCTATTTCCAGGATAGGGTCCGTGTCCTATGTGGATTCTGCTCAGAGTGAGGAAGTGACTCCCTGGGCCAGGGCTCATGCCAGAGGTCACGAGCCAGTCTAAGAGTGCGCAGGGCCTGTCAGGCCCCAGGGGATCCCGAGGGAGGGAAGTGGTGGCAACAGCCCCACAGGCGGTGTTTCCTGTCTTTGGCTAGGGTGTCCCATAACAATAGCCAAAAAGCTCCCTAAATCAGGTTCTGATGTGGGAGAAATATATGTGTGTATGTGTTTTCTCACTTTGTAATCATCCAAATTAAAAAAAATTAATAAGCTCCCTTTTGTCAATCATAAACTGAAAAAAAAAAATCAACCACTAGAACCATGACCCAGGACACCAAACAAGAGCAACTATTTTCAGGAAACTGAAAGTTTAGATTTGAGATTTTCGAATTCACTTATATGTATTTAATTTTATCATCAAAACCTAGATTGACTCTGGGCCTCTGTTACAAAATGTCTGGTGACCTTGGGCACTTAAGCCCTCTAGTAATGAGGCTACAGAACCTTGGCACTTCTGCTGTCTTTCCAACACCACGATTCCACTATGGAAGGCACTTTCTCAAGCCAATGATTAGAGGACGCTTATGTTACATTACTTGACTTTGCTGGCAAAGAAGAACAGATGCTCTTTAAAACAATCATAATCGTAACTACTGTGCTGGTACCAAATGTGGAAGGGTTGGCTGCAGGCAGTTTTTACACACGTCTCCTGCCACTCCTTCCCCATCGCTGCCACTTTGTAAAATAACACAAGCCAAAGAAGGGGGCACAGCTTCTGCCTAAATTACCAACTTTTACTTTTATAATCAGTTAAGCATTCTGTAATTTAAATTACACATATTTATTTCCATTCAAATTTTCACAGATTAAAAGATTGCATTTTATTAGTCAATTTAAAGGCAGTTTTCAGCACTGATTTCTCACGAGACAGAGTCAGACAGTAATATTAAGATCTGCAGATGTGAATACAATAAAGACACACCTTTTCTTGCAAACCAAGCACAGGGATGCTTTCCCACCAATCTGTGGCCATGACTTTGATGATGAGCTGAATGAAGACATGACATCTCAGGTCACACTAAGAATGTATGTAAGGCTCAAAGCTGCAGGCAGCAAAATGTTCTCAGAAAAGCAAGACTCAGGCACTGCTGGCTGCCACCCCTCAGACGCACCAGGTAGATGCGATGGCATGTGACTTCCGGGTATGGCAGCAGTGAACACGCGCTCACTCAGAGGAAGTGAGTGGGTGCATTTAGGCAGTGCTCTAAGAAAACAGTAAGGTTCAGAAAAAACATTTGCTCCAAGGCACCCGGGTGTACAGCTGTTTAGAAAAGATCCACAGAAAAGAAAGGCTGAAAAGGAAATCAGTTCTCAGTGGAAGAATCTGTTACTATCACAACCAGCGAAAGAATTACTTCAGGTAGACTGAGTGAGAGCAGGAAGCAGATGCTGGGGCTCACTTGTACTTGTAGTACCCTTCTCCTGTCTTCTTGCCCAGCTTCTTCTCTGCCACCAGCTTATTCAGGGAAGGGCTGGGCTGAAACAGGGGGTTCTTTGTATCCATTTCATGCCACCCTGTGGAGAGGAGGGACAAAAGCACTGGCTTAGTTTGAGCTGGGGGTGCAGCAGGGGAGGAGGGTTCCCTCTCAGATGCAGGAAAGCCCCTGGGGCAGAGGCCACTCAGGCTGCCACTTTCCTGTGCTGCTAGAAGCCCGGCTCCACTACGGCCTCCTGTTACCCTACCTCTTCCTGCATCACTGGCACCAAAGGTCCAGAATGCTAACAGAACCGTGAATGTACTGGCTGGATTCCCAAGTGGCACAGCTAACTTTCAGAATATGGGGGTTAAAAACCTGAATTCCTCCTACTTTGACTTCCCATCCTAAGAAAATTCAAAATTTCACACTTCAACTAGGCTCCCCCTCCTTCCTGATGTGTAATTATCTTTGTGAAACGGAGCAATGAGCTACATCAACGTCAGTAGTCCAGTTTTAATAATTATTTTTATCCTGTGTTCAGAGTCACCACATTTAAGTGGGTTTTTATTTTGATTGGTACCAGAGTTTGAACTCAGACCCTTCCAACTGAACCATGCTCACAGCCCTTTCTTTGCTTTTAGTTATTTTTCATGTAGGGTCTTGTTTTTTGCCCAGGCTGGCCTCAGACCACAATGTTTTTACCTATACCTCCCATGTAGCTGGAACCACAGTTGTGTACCACCACACCCTTATTGACTGAGATGGGATCTCACTAACTGCTTGCCTGAGCTGGCCTTGAATGGTGAGCTATCTCCCAAATAGCTGGGATTACAGAAATGAGCCACCACACCCAGCTTAAAATGCATACATTTTAAAAAATGGATGTCTGTCTTGATTTCCACAGAGGTTTCACAAACCAAGTAGTGAAAAATGACTTGCCATACCAATGTCAATTTCCTGATTTTGATATGGTAATGCAGTTATATAAGATGTAACCATTAGGGAAAAACTGGGTGAAGGGTACACAAGATCTGTGTGTGCTATATAAGCACCTTCCTGTGAACCCACAATTATTTTAAAACACAAAGTTACCCTGTTAGGAGACCTACGCAGTCACTCCTCCTTGTCCTACCACTTGCTAACATGAATCTTTAACCTGCTAGTCTGGTTTGGAGGTGCTGTGTCCTCCATGGGGTCATGTACTGCAAGCACCAGCGTGGTGGTGTGGAGGTGGCGGAACCTTTAAGAGGTGGAGCCTAATGACAGGTAATTAGAGGTTGTGATGATGTCTCTCAGGAGTGAGGCTAGTGTGACGAGGTTAGTTCTTGAGAGTGCAGACTATTATAAAGCAAGGCCACCCCACACCTATACCTTGGGCCCTTTTGCACAAAGCTGTTTCCCTTTTCTGCTTCTTTACCATGTTGTGACACAGCCAGGATAACCTTCACCAGACTCAGGCAGGTTGCTGTTTGGACCTTCTTGCTATCAGAATCACAAGCCAAATAAATCTCTTTTGTTTATACAGTACCCTGCCTCAGGTACTTTGTTACAGCAACATAAAAAGACTATGACACTTGGTGAGGCAGGACTTTAGAGAGTCTTACTAAGAACCCTTAGAATTTTTGTTTTAAATAGGCACTATAATTCACTGTTCCAAGAAACTACTTCAATTCAGTTTAAAAAGACAAGAGGATTCCAATTCCTACCATCCAAGATGAACTTTGTGGTATCCAGCCCAACATAGTCAAGAAGCTCAAATGGACCCATGGGGTACCCAGCTCCCAGCTTCATTGCAGTGTCGATGTCTTCCTTGGACGCATCACCTAAGGAGAAAAGGGCAGCACTGAGTCACTACAATCCTTTCCCAATCCTATTCCAGACTAACCCCAGAATGACTGGAATTTTATATGCTTGCATATTCAAAAAATGTCAAGAGTCTGTTTCTGGAACATACCAAATATCTCATGAGCTTTTCAAAACAACTATACCACGTGAGGCGAATTCTAGAGTCCTGCTGCCTAGCTCATGAAGAGAGAAGGCCCCACGCCTGGGAACAAGGGCTACTTCCTAACAGATCAGGTATTCCAACTCCACAGTCACTGACTAAAACCTCATTAAACACTACAGTAGACTTGTTTTATAAATGGGCTTGAGCACACACTCACACTAAGGCACTAAGGTTTCTATTTTTGTTTGTATTGCAGCTGCATTTTCCTTTTCCAGTTTTCTTGCTTTTAGAAGTGATGAGTATCCCCTGGAACCACATCCACACAGTCAGTCAGCTAGCTGAAGAAAGCCCAAACTTGACTGAGAGCTGTTATGCACATCTGAAAGAGTGCTAAGTAGATTGAAAGGGGCAGTCAGTGGGCTTTTCCTTGGAATTTTCTATAATGTGCTGCCACTGGGCCATAAAACCACAAGAGGGCTCAGCATAGAAAATAACCTGTGTGTCCTTTCTCCAAAATCAGATAGGAAAGACCATAATATGAGACTACTTAGAATTTTGATTCAAAGCGTAAGGAAGTAGCCAATTATACTAAAACTAAATAAAATGTTAAAACAGGAAGGATTTCATACCTAAGAACTTCAGATGTTAGGCACAAGGAGCAGGAACTACTTAAACATCTCTAAAGACAATTATTTTAAAAAGCCTATCAGGTGCTAAAGTAATGCCAAAGGAGTCCAGGGCAATTGAAGGTGATTAAAATACCACTTGAAGCTGGGTGTGGGGCATGCCTGTCATCTCTGTACTGGGGAGACTGAGGCAGAAGAATCATTAGTTCCAAGCCAGCCTGGGTTACCTAGTAAGACCCTGTTTCAGAAAACCAAACCAAAAATAACAGGAACAACAATAACAACAAAAAAAAAACAAAACCAAAACCACTTGATTATTTTCTAGGGGTGACATTATTAATACTACAGTAATTGGGGTCAGAGGTCCTGAGAAATCATGATTTGCACTCAGGCCGTTAAGAAAGCAAAAACCATCACATATATGTAAGCCTTATCAGACAGCCTCACACATTCATTCACTTTTTTCCTGCACTGTTGGGAACCTACATGGAGTGTTAGGGCTGTGGCTTCACAGTTCAAAAGTGGATTCTGCTCAGGTTGTTGAGGCCCTGAGGCTCCTATGGGGTTGCAGTTACCTCTGAATGCTGGAAAAGACAGCCTCACAGGCTCCATCCAGCCTCAGGACTCAAACATCTACAAAGTGAACACAACTCTAAAACAATTCTGTTCTGAGTAATATAGAGCAAAAGAAGTAAAGAGAAATGAAACACACACAGATTGGTGGGCCAAGTGGTAGTTAAATATGGTGTCATGTTTTAGACCAGTAATTCCTAAACTTTTTTTAAGTACTTCTCTGAGGATCTCACACGCCCTACACAAAACACACACATGTACACAAAACTATGCATCAACATTAGGAGTTTGAGGGGCCACTCCATCACTCCCCAGTTAAAATCCGTTAACTACAGCCAGCCAACAAAGAAAAGCCTCCTCAGTGAACCTCAAACCTGGACAGCTGGGGTCTATGGAGAATGGGGACCAGCTCACTGTTTGTCTTTCACCAGCTTATCAGCACCATCTGCCAGCCATTCTTAGCATTACCAACAAACTCCCAGCACCAAGGACCAGAAAGGCCCCATGGCCTCTGTGCCTTCATGCATCCCTAGCTATCTAAGTGCTAACTGCATGTCCTGGGTGAGTACTTTGGGGGCATGAGCACATGAAGGTCCTAGATACTGCCCCAGAAGAGAATAGAGAAGATAGACATATGCTACATCACAGTGAAGGGAGTGACAAGTGCCCAAGGAGTAGTCAAAGTCTGAAGATAGCTATGATGGCAGATTGTGCCTACCTTGGAGCACAGAGGATGTAAGGTGGGGCCTTGTGACAAAGGCAGAAGGAATGTGGAGACCACAGCTGGGACAGAGGGTGAGGAGATTCTCTGGCTGGAGCTTATATATGGCAGGTTTCCAGAGAACCACTAAATATGACTTGAACTGCTTGGTGACTGTGAACAGACATGCTATGGACTGGGGACAGGCTCATGACACTCCTTAGGACCTAGTACCACCATAACTTTCCAGCGAAGACCTGACCATGTGTTCCAGCTGCCCTGCTGGAGCTGACCAATGAGAATGGTGCCCGATGGGAGCTGTAGTCTACCCCTGGGTGCCAGCCTGCCCAGCCTATATCCCTTCCACTGCCAGATCTGATGCCTGACTGCACCCATCAGGCCACTGTGTGAAGGAATGAGAGCAGACAGCGAGGACACTGTGAAAGGCCAACACAGGATCCCTGAGGCACAGCAAATAGCAGAGGTAAGAGATGGCAATGAGCCTCTACCAGGCCACATGGGGGATGGGCAAGCTGTGGTGGCAGGGCACTGACTGACTAGGCAGCTGGCACTGCATCCTTCCAATGAGCCCCAGCCATTGAAGCAGCATTTGTCAATGTGTGGGTTGGGGGAACTCAGGCTCCAGGTGTATCAATGTACAGAAAAGTTCTCCCCAGAGGAGGTAGGAAACAAAGTCCAGAGCATCTGCAGTGGCTTGGTTGCACTATAGGATCCTGACATACCCAGGCAGGGTGTGTGGGCAGATAAAGGGCAGTGTCTCCTTGACTTCCTTGACAACACTACACTCTCAGCAAGCACAGTGGAGGATACCCACCTGGGAAAGATGAAGCAACAAGAAGGCCTTTGCTGCCTGAACAAGCCTCACTGCGCAAGTCTGACTACAGCAGAGAGGGGTGGGATGGGAAGAGAACAGGCATGACGGGGAGGAATCAAGGGTACCAAAGAAATGCGGCAGGCAAGGAAAGGAACATCCTGTGACTTCAGGTGTCAAAGTGGAACTGCTTAGCTGCTTTAAGCATTGCTCTGTGTTGGCTGACACAGGTGGTGAAGAGACATGTTAAAGTCAGGGTGTGAAAGGTGTCCAAATTGCTGGGGCCTATACCTACCCAGACTTGATACTCAGCAACTTCAGGAAAGATACTCTGGCTCACAGGCCCCAGAGGGCTGTGGAGAAAGAGGCCAAGGGACCAGCCATAACAGGCTTTCCAGGGCAGTGCCAAGAGCAAACTAAGATCAGGTCCCCCCGGGGTCAGGTCTTTTATTTCCAGGTACACCCCACAGGGGGCCAGTGATGTGAGGGGCTAAGGGACCCTCCACTCCCCAATTCACACAGGGACCACTGCTAGGGGGAAGGGCAACAGAAGAGAAGAAAATGGCTTTCACCTTAGCACGAGGTATTTGGTGCACAACAAGGTATCAAAGGGACAATGTGCTTCTATGAGAAAAACACCATGAAGAGGTGTTACAGTCAAAAACATTACATTAAAAAGACTGCCTTTCAAGCTAGGGCAAAATGCTGCATGCTTTCTTTGAGGTGTAATTAAGCATATTTGTTGATAGATGAACACAGAAGTGTTAGTTTGATCTTGGAGCAAAAGTGAGGCAATTGCTTTCCATAGAGAAAAGTTTAATATTTAAAGCAGATCTTGAAGAAGCAAATGTGCTTTCATCTCTTAGGAAGAGCTGGTTAAATGTTTTGTTTTAAAAATGACATTCTTGGAGGAGAGAATTTGTGAGTGAAGTTACTGAAAAACACTGACTGCTTTTTATCCAGTTTCATTACAACCTGGTGGCCTTGAAACGGACCTGATCGGTATCTTTCCATAACCAGGGCAGAGAAGAGGTGGAGGAACATGTTAATTATAACCCTGGTCATGTCCCAAGTCTTATGTATCTACAATAGGAAGAGGCAGTTTTTGTCAGTCAAGTGTTAAGAGAAAATTTTAGAGCATTCTTGAAGTCTAAAAAGTGCATCGTGATGTCTTTCAGTAAGGATGGACACAGCTGTTAGAAATTACCCACGTTCCATGTCAGCTTTGTCACTCATTCCCACCTATCATACAAGTTTTAGAACCTCAGGAAACTTTAAACATTCTCTAGTCCAGTGATTTTTACATTATAACTTGTTTAAAGCTGTAAACTTTTAACCAAAAGCAGAGATTGAGGATATAAACTGGGGCTGGCCATGCCCTTGCTCTGGCTGGGACTGTTAGAGCACAGCTCAGCCACGTGAGGCCCAGAGGGAAGCCTGGGGCTCTGCGAACACAGTGACAAAGTTCTAAGGCCAGGGTGAGAATGAGCTGGCACAGCTGGAAAGCAGAAGTCCTTCTTGGCTCTGCATGGCTCAGTTCTTCCTCCATGCTGATGAGATCTCCAGACCCAAGCCTGACCTAGGATGGATACCTCGCTCATGCAGCCTGACTGCTTCCAGGAGGTATGGCACCAGAAGACGGTTCACAATAAACCCAGGAGTATCCTGTTTCAGGAGAGAGAAAAAGACAAGTGATTAACCTCAATCTGGTGAAGTCACCAGATCTCTCCTCCTTACCTGCGTGCTGCTGCTTACATTTGCCAAGCTACATATAGCCTCGAAATTTGTTTTTAAATACCTTACTTCTATCTCATGTGACAGTATATCCTTATTTTCTCCTGTCCCACCTCCCTTTCAGAAATCTAGAAGAGGAGCTACTCCATCTTCAGCAATCCTTCAGTAGTGCTGCTTTCCAGGTTCCCCAGAGCTGTTCTTAGGCCACTCAGTGTCCTCTCATGTCCCAGCATACATTGAAGGTTGGTTGACTTGTAAGCAGACGTCAGGATGAGCAGCAGATACCAACAGGCTGCTGGCTCACAACATGCACGCTGCCCAACCCCTCGAATCCATCTGGTTTCCTATCATCCATTTCCCTCCTGCAGTAAAGCACATCATCATCTCTCCAGAATGACCACTGTGGCACTTGGGTTTTATCTACTGATCTCTTTGGGTGCTGGGTTGTGGAGAAGGCCAGGTTGTGATATTTATATAATGCTAATTTCCACCAAGTAAATGGTGCCACCTTTCTTCCCAAGGGCAGGGACCCTCCCCTGGCCTGGGACTTGCATTCTTTCCAGCACACACCAGGCACTGTGCTGCTATCCACACTGAAGTAGACCAGGATCCTACACACAAAGCTGACTGTGTGCTGTGTGACCAGACAGTAAAGCAAGACATTCCCTTTCACTTCAGGCACAATGGAGCCAAGCCCACTCTGTTGCCATGGGCAGAGATGCACAAGCTCTATCAACTTAGCCAAGACTGGATTAATGGTCAACAGTGTTTTCATAACTGAGGCAAAAATGCTTTTCAACTTCAGAGATTCATGTAGAATCAGGATAGGGCACCCAAGAATATGAAACATATCATATATAAAGGGAAAAGTCAAAAAGCAGCCTGCAAAAAACATTGCTCCAATTGTAATAGGTAATATCCTCTAGAGAAAGTGCCTCTCGGATCTGTCACAGATCCTAGGGTAACTGTAAAACAGTTACCTTTTCATACATACTTAGAAGGGAAAAAAAGTGTAGTAAATATAAGAACTAGGACAGTTGTTTGATTATCAATTACTATGCATGGTACACTATTTTGTGTGCTGTACTTTTATACAACTGGCAGCACAGTATGTTTGTTTACACCAGCACCACATGGTGTGCTACACGGTGATTTTTAGGACTTTAGGGCTATGACGTCACCAGGCAATGGGAATTTTTCAGCTCCAGTACAATCTTATTGGGACCGCCGCTGTGTCTGCCATTGACTGAAATGCTGTTATGAGGCACATGACTATCGTCTGGCCTTTTCTCGAAGAGTTCGCTAGCCCTTGTTCTATGTGGTTGCCATAAATGTCCGGATATGCTCCATAAGATCTTGAATAACTGAACTGAAAGACTCCCAGAAAGCTACAAGATATGACAGGGGTTCTTGAATCTCTAACAAGGACAATGTTCTGAGACCAAAGAGTTCCTCTCCCTGCAGAGGCTGCGGCCACTCTGGTGGACTAATGAGTGTGCTATTCAGAATTCCTGGCTTTTTCCTACCTCTGGCTTTTGACTTGACGCATGTGATGTTCTTTCTAACACAATTACTGCTTTCTTTCACTAATACAGAATAGATGGGTAAGTGCAAGTCTAAAATCTACTTATTAAAGGGATGTTTTCTAAATCCAGGTGACTTAAAACTACAGACTTAAACAAACAAATAAACAAAATGGGTATGGAAAATAAGACTCCAAAATAACATTACACTCCTAGACTTGGGGGGAACCAGCTCACATAAGTCTGCTCTCTTTAGCTACTGGGGTCTATATCAACAGAGGCTTGTTCAGAGGATTAAGAAGCAATATGATACACCTAGCCCTTTAGAAAAGCTGTAAAAATATGTAGAAGTATGGTCCTTAAGTTAGGGGAGTACTAAAAAACTAATGCAAATAGAAAAGCTGAAGGTAAGAAAAACAATACAGCTTATCATTTCAGTGATTAGGCTCATTTTAAATATAACTGGTATCGTAAGAAAGTAGAAAAAAGCTGGAGTCAAGCCTGCTTTAGGCAACCTCACTTTTTACTGAAACACAAAACACAGAAAAACACAGTGCCATGTTCCACCGAGAAACACTTCATTAATGCTTCTCTGGGTAGGTTTGACTCTTTCTGACTCGTCAATTGCCTGAGCCTCTGTAGTGCTTGCTACATGGAAGGCCCTAGTTTTCTGCTAGGACTGTGTGTGTCCACCAGGCTGTACCTGGACACACACAGCCTTACTCCCAGGAACCAATAGCATTTAAGTTGATAGAGTCACAGAAACTGGGCACAAACAACACAGCCACTCATCAATAGACTAAAGCCAGGGCTCAGAGGAAATCCCAAGTCTTCAATCAGTTGAAGCCTGGGCTCGCTCCAATGGGATCTCAGATGTGCGCATGACAGTCCTGGATGTGGTGTAGGAGAAGTTTCCTGGCCCACACAGTGGAATGGAGGAATAGCTTGCACTGAATAGTGGCCTGTTTCTCACATCATTCTATTAGCATGAGTGAGTGAGGTTCCAAAGAAAATCACCTCCTTCACAAGTTGTTTTGGATGTTGTTTGTCCCTCTAGAGGTTCAAGTGTTATAAGCGTGGTTCCTGGCAAGTGGTATGGAACGTTTAAGAGATAAGGCCTAGTGGGAAATCCTTAGGTCACTGGAGATACTGCCTTAGTAGGGGAATACTGGTTTCCTGGAGTGAGTTCTTATAAGAGTGAGTTGTTACAAGAAGCCTCTCTCTGACTTCCCGTATGGAAATAGGATTCTTCCCCTTGTATGTGCTCTGGCAATAGTGACACCAGTGGCCATGGTGCCCTCACCAGAACTGAGCAGATGTTGACATCAACACTGTGTATCTCTAGAACTGTGAGCTAATGAAACTTTTCTTCTTTATAAAGTTAACCACAGGCAACAGAAAATGGACAAGTATACTACCCTTACTTTACCTTACAAGAAACAGGATGCTTTCCCAAGGTTTTGGTAAAGTCTACTAGAGATTCAAATGTCTTCTGGCTGGTCATAGGTGTTTTAATGACCTAGAAATGCAAAGCAGAGAATTATGACTGCAGAGTCAGCAAACAAGTACACTAGAATCAAGGAACTCTGATCTAAAGGTTTATATGGATTGCAAAACAATTTTAATTTTAGCATAGAAGGAGGGATCTCACATCAGAATCAAAATGCTTACCAAAATGTCCATTTAAGACATTAAATGTGGGTTGGCTAACAGAGTGGCTCAAGTGGTAGAGTTCCTGCCTGGCAAGCACAAGTCCCTGAGTTTAAACCCCAGAATTGGAAAAAAAAAAAGTGGAGAACTACAGAATACACAAAATCAAGGCCTAACATACATGTATGTGGGGGAGGGCAAGCTGGTATAGGCCAGTTTTACAGGTATTGTGACAGCCCTGCATTCAAATCCTGGTTGCATCACTTAATGGCCATGGTGCCCTGAGCATGTTTCTTGAAATTCAAATGACATTGAAATCACCATATCCACCTCAAAGAGCTGGGGTGAGAAGCTGTAACTACAGCTGCAAGGAGTCTGAGGTACTCAGCAAACACTGGCTTTTCTCATTTGACTTATTGCTAATCACCTCAGGGTGGCAGGTGGCGCAGTGTATGGGGATGGTAAGTGCCTTCAAAGTTCTCTACTGCAGAAGAGAAAGGACACTATGAAAGGGAGTCCTCTGGCTGAGTCACAGGCCTCCAGGGTGGGCATCCTCCCCTTTTCCCACCTGCTCCCACACTGATGTCCACGGGCCAGTCCCGTATTTCAGAACAGACTTCCCAAAAAGAAGGGCTGTGGTTTATAGCCAACAGGGCACAGCTGGGGCCACCATCTGCTCTGGCCCCCCTCCTGACGTTCTGAGGTACAGGCAAAGGTACAACTGCTACCTACTGGCTCTGAAGGAGGCAATATGAAACAATGCCTGGCACGGCAGCCCTTAGAAAATTCTTGAGAGAGCTCAACTGTTAGGAGTTAGACTGGGGTACATGGACAGAATGGGTGAATTTAAACACACACAAAAAAATGAAAGGCCAGCAAGAACTTCCACCGAAGTCAAGACAAGCAGGCTTGGCTTCTACATCAGGTAGGTGCATCACATGTCTTCTGTGACATCAGCACCATGATATCTGACGTGTCCTCCTGTGCAAGAGGGCTGTGGCTGCAGGAGCTGGCACATGAAGGGCTGGAAGGTGCTGTATACAGCCTCTTCGAGGAGCACCACCACCAGCACTGGGTGACCATAGCTGGGTGCAGTGACATATACGACACACGGAAACAAATGGGAAAGTAGGATCAGAAACAAGTAACATGAAGACAGAGGCCAGGAGCAGGGTAAGATGGACCAGAACTGGCCTTCCAGGGAAGGACTGATGAGGTCTACATCACACCCACACAGAATTGAGCTGGGACAAAGGGTGCTAACTATGGAGTCATAAAGTAGGGAGTTGCTTTAAAGGGATCAACAGTAACTCTGGCTGTTCTTGTAAACAGGAGAGAACCATGGTCACTCACTCATTTAACAATCAGCAACATGGTACAGTCTGTCAGTTCTAGGAGTCCCATCCAAGCAAAGCTTGCTAACTGTTCACTGTGTTTGCTGCTCACCACTTTCAACACGTGCAAGAACTGCTGCTCAGGAATAAAAACTGATCACAGTAGCACATTTTCCCACAATATTCTCTAGAAAATGGTATTTGCTAAGCATTTGTTGTCATCAACCAACACACTACATTCCTAAGGACACAGGCAGACATCATCAGATAAATGCAGTTAAAAACATTGTGTTTAAAGTAATCTTTATCTCCAAAACACATACATGTGTGACAAAGTAATTAAGGAAATTGGTCCCTAAGTACTAGAATGTTCCATTCCTCCTCTTTGCTCTTTTCTGCTGTTTCCTCTATTCCTTAGTCTCCCCTTATGGCTCAACTTCTTTAAAACCAGCTCTAGGGATGGAAGTAACTAGAAGCCACCAAGGAGCAATAACGGTGGCAGCTCTGACCCGTCCTAATATAGGACGGGTCAGAGCTGCCTTGTGAGAGAAAGGAATAAGAAAGTGGAGTCATTATTATAAGTGAGTAAAACATGCTTATGCTGGGAGGAGGCAGTGAGGGGATAAGGGAAGAAAAGGGCTGGAGAGGGAAACAGTGAATAAGCAGACCTGACCCACATTCCCAGAGGGGCCCTGGCCAGTCTCTGGAGGTTCCTGGCTCTGCACAGCAGCTCCCTCCCTCCCCGCACTTCGAAGGCAATGCCTTCTCTAACAGCAGCTGCTCCACAGACCCTGTTGTTAGCCCCTATAAAGGGCAAGCTGTCACATTTCAGAGCAAAGTGTGTACTGTGGACTCCATCTCCCTCACAGCCTGGTCTCCAAGCAAGCAAGCCCAAACAGGAACACTGGCCAGCCCTGCCTGGCCCTTCTCTCCACCTCTTGGCTTTGTAGTCAGGAAGTTCACAGATGTCAGAAGCTGTTATTACTAGCTTTGATTACAACACAAAGATTTACCACACCTGGGGACAGTAGTAAGGCACTGCCATCTAGGGCCAGAATTCATCCTATAAATGGAAGACATCCAAGGCATGGGGAAAGTTGACATGGACAGGACAGTAGTGACCACGCACAGCCTCCCCTTCATGGTCTTAGCAAGCCAGTGGCCATTAGTGCTGCCTCTTATTTGGCCTGATGTCACTCTCAACACTGCCCATCAGTTCTTGTACAAATAAGTCAAGGACATTCTACAGCCTTCCTGGAACCTGGTTAAAATACAGGACTGTGAAGAAACAAACTTCAGGGCCTCCCTAGATATCAGGTGCTTTTTCTGTCTTTGGCCACAAGAACAGGTCATGGCAAGAAAAACCCAAGCAGAGGGATAGCCTTCCAAGCTCCTCTGAAAACCCATCTGATGTGACCCCAGAAGCAGGCAGGACTGTGGGAGTTACAAAGAGCAGCCAGGCACAAGCAAACACCCACTGACCTCCACGAGCTTCATCACAGGCACTGGGTTGAAGAAATGGAGGCCAGCAAATCGATCTTGTCTGGTGGTAGAGTTGGCTATGCTTGTGATCTGCAAGGAAGAAGTGTTGCTGGCAAAGATGGTGTGTCTGTGGAGAGAAAGATGGATGATGGCCAGATGAGTCAGTGTGTGTGAACAGCACCACGTTCAAGAGCAGTGCACAAGAGGATGGCTTACTGCTAGGTCTGTCGTCCCAACCTACTGGGGACGCCAGGGAAAAACACGTCTTCATACGAGAGGGTGAAATCAAGTGATTGCAGTTTTATTTACATTTTGAAATTTAAATTGCCTGTTCCAAAGGCACAATCTTCACCAATCTTTCCTTACTTTTAAAGAACAGAATTTCCCTTGCCTACTTGTATTAGTTAATTTTCATGGTATGTGAGAAGAAAAGAGGCAGTCAACTGATCAAGCAACCTAACTAGCCTCAGACACAAAATGAAACTCTCCGTGATCAGATCCACGAAAACAGGAAGGATGATTACACACCGCAAGTCAACAACAGCAAAATCTGTAAGCAACACCCAAGTCCTCAGTGAACTAAGACCTCTCCCCGGTAAGAAAAAGCTCTGTTTCCATTAGATGAGGATTTAAATGAGAACAATACTTTGAACATGGTCGAAAAGAAATTTTATGGTCACAAAGGCAGCTGTGGGGAGGGAAAGGGAAGATCCACGTATATACATTACACTTGCTCAAGGTATTCTGCTGACAAAATCTGAAAAAGTACCACGTTCTTTTGTGTGTATAAGACATTAACTTATTAATAAAGAAATCCATATTGACTTAAACCAAATTTAAACTTTAAAGACCACAGTACAGTTAGTTGCCAAAGGCCTGATGGGCAGGATCTCTAGACTTTCTTCTAGTGCCACCTTGTGGGCAAAATTACACAAACCAGCCCCATGCCAATTTACCATGGAAAAGGCCTGGTCACAGCGCAGGGCAGTGGTCACTTTCTGATCAGATTCTCAGGGGTTCCTGCTTACCCAAGAGGCAATACTATAGTCTTTCTGAAAACAGGAACGGTGGGAGGGAAGAAGAAGGGAAAGAAAGAAGAAAGCAATAATTTGTAGAGGAAAGAGTGAGGTGAAAGGACAGGATAGGCTGTTTGATGGCTCATGCCTGTAATCTCAGTGTTAAGGAGATAGGCAAGAGGAAGCCAAGTTTGAGACCAATCTGGGATACATATAGCAAGACCCTGTGTCAAACATAAAATAAAATAATAAAGTAAGATAAAAAGAGAGAAAGAAAGGAAGGTGAGCACGAGTAGTTGGCTGGAGGATGAAAATCATATGTGTCCTCAGCTCAGGATGCCTTCTTTTAAGGCACTAGGTCTTCCAAGTCAGGCTATTTAAAGGCCAGGTGAAGGGACTTTTCCTTAAAATAAATAAATATGACTTTGTTTTTTAGTACTGAGGCATGAACTCAGGGTCTACACCAGCCCTTTTTCATGATGGATGTTTTTGAGATAGGGTCTTGCAATCTACTTGCCCAGACTGGTTCAAAACCATGATCCTCCTCATCTCTGACTCTTGAGTAGCTAGGATTACAGGTGTGAGCCACTGATGCTTGGCCAAAATGGCCTATTTTTAAGGTTTTAAATTTTCAAATTTTCTTACTTCTTAGTCAATAGAGAAAATTTACACTACTGCCATTACAGAAAAGAATGAAAAAGACGGTATGTGTGAGTAACCTGTGCACCATGCATGGGGGTCCACCATGGCATTGGGGACAGCACGCGCTGAGGCTGTGCTAACAGTAGCTCCACACCCACGAAGAAAAGGTAATTTACTTCACAGACTGGTCTCACACTTGGAACATGGTAGCTTTTGAGAACATCTGAAGGACTACAGGCCTGAAAGAAGGGAAACGCAGGCACATTTGTCAACAGTGATGTGACAACAAACCCTAGTCTCCAGGGCAGTCAGCATTTTACCAGAAGCCACATTGTCGCTCGCTAGCAGGCCTCAGCTCTGCCTCTGCTCCTTTCAGTACACTCACTGATCGCCATGCTGAACATGGAGGACTGTCTTATCTTCCACAAAAAACACGTTCTCACCTTCTCCTGGAAACACCTGACTCCCAGACCATCTTCTGTTTTTCTCTATCTGATACAGAGACACCAAAACACAAGTTCTCTCTTAAAAGTACTAAAAGAAAATTGGCTGCGCAATCATAACGACCATTAGCATAGAGCCCCGGCTCCCTGGACTCAGTATTGAAAAGACAAGGCGGTGGTTGAAGGATCAGAGTCCACAGGTGGCTGAAAGCGTTTCATTTGAGCTCCTTCTACTGCGACTAGGAAAGCCATGTATTTCTTATGGAAGCAACTGTCTCTTCACAGCTTCCAATGAAAACTTTATGCTTGATCATAGTTTCTTCTCGAACTCTTAAGATATAACTGTAAAACTTAGCAGTGAAGTACATTTCAATACATCTGCTTAAAAAAAACTATTTAGCAGGCTGAGATCTTCCAGAATCTCAGAATATTCTGGAAGATTGCAGCTCAAGGCCAGCCCAAGACCTCATCTTAACCAATAAGGCAGGAATGGTGGTGCATGCCTGTGGTCCCAGTTACATGGGGGGAGGTGTGAGTAGGTGTATCAAAGTCTGAGACTTGCCTAGACAAAAATGAAAGGCCCTATCTGAAAAATAATGAAAGCAAAAAAGGGCTGGGGCATGGCAAGTGGCAGAGTGCTTGCCTAGCTTATGTTTGAACCCTGAGTTCAAACCCCAGTACAGCACTCCCACTCCCACCAAAATACAACTGAGCAAGTATTCAATAATGGTGGAGAACAAACATGGAACCAGTGCAGAGAAGGACGGCCCAGAGACAGACACTGGTCACATCTTCAGCATACTTACTATGGGTTGTGCCCTTCCTTTCCTGTGTCACATCTGTGCTATATAAACTCAAGGGACAAAAGTCTAGTATGGGGCCTGACACACCAGGAGGCCTAATATCAGGAAATGAGATGTAAACAACTTCCTGAATAACTCTGTGCAACGTGTTCTGATGCTAATCCTGGATGGAACTGGGAGGCTTGGAAACTGTCTACCTCAAGTCTTTCAACTGACATCACAGGTGGGAAAACTGAGGACCCTCCTAAGTTCAGAGTGAAATGGTGGGGCTGACACAGGCCCAGCCTGCTGACTGTCCCTGCATGGCTTCCTGTTACCCTCCGCCGACACCAGAGGGAGCCAGGCCTTTCACATTACTGGGAATGACCACATGGCAAGAAGGGCCTCACTGTCTAGCAGAATGACAGGACTCCATTCCCAGGGCCAGTGCTCTATTACCTTGCAGGGCTCCCTACTGACTTGGGAGTCAACCCTAGGATCAAGAGCATCCTCCCTCTTTGTCAGATGTTGCTATGGCCCAAGTGCAGGCTAAGCAGCAGAATGCTACACAGATGACAGGAACACAGGGCTCTTCTCCTTGTCAGGGCAGCGTGTCTCTGTCCAGCAAGCCCCAAAGCTCTGAGGGTTGACATTCCAGCAGGCTGATGTGAGCGTGTCCATCCTTAGTTATCGCTCACATATAATCTCACTCTGCCTTTCAAGTCTCACAAAGAAGGGTGGAGGAGTGTGGCCAAGTAGGCTACAAAGAAAGCACGGATCAATCATCCAGGTGTCACACTTGTCAAAAGCAAAGAGTCAAATGCAAATAAAGGCTCTGGACTCTGAGGTGAGCTGGTGAGAAGTGGACATGGTGGTGGAAAACTCCTTCCTGGGAAATGCAGTCAACAGGAGGGAAGCTTGAGCCCTGGGAGGGAGCCCTGAGATCCCAACAACACTCAAGGGTACGTACTCAGCAGCAAACTTGTCCAGCCTTTGGAAGAGCTCGTTCTTCACCTTCAGGTTCTCCACAATGGCCTCCACCACCAGGTCTGTGCTGTGGACTACAGATGCTGCATCCGTGCTGGTCGATATACTGCTCAGGGTCTTCTCGATGAACTCATCGGCAGCCTGATGCAGTGGGAGAGGAGAACATTCACTGAACTCAAGGTGTGCACCTTGCTGCCAGGGCAACAGGAAGGAGGATCAATGCACTCAGGACAACATGAACACACCCCAAAACTCTGAGAAAGCAAACTCCCTACATCTGTGCTCAGAAGCCGTGGCATCTAGATGTACTTCTAGCCACCAGGGCAAGAGCCTCCTGTGAACAATGATCACTGTCCTGTCTGTGATGGTCTTTTGAGTTCTTAGGCAGCTCTGCTTTGAGCACCTGCATGGCCCACTCTTATCTGATCCCAGAGTACTGGTGAAGCCTGCACTTTGTCTTTCCAGAGCAGAATAAAAGCAAAGCCTCCAATAGAAGGCAGGGAAGGCAGAACTCAGCGGCCACTCATCAAATAATAATCATTAATCACATGCCAGCCATTGGTGTCTCAAAAATAAGCCAGACACAAAAGCACAACTGCTGTATAATTATACTTATATGAAGGAAAGAGAATAAGCAAATTCATATAGTAGATTAGGATTTAGCAGGGGACAGAGGACAGGGGAATAAGAAGTTACTGCTTAACAGACTCAGACTTTGTGTTTGAAAACACAAAGTAGTTTTAGAAATATAGTGGTGATGCTTGCATATGTGAATATAATTAATGCCACTGAGCTGTGTATTTAAAAGTAGCTAAAATGGTAAATTTTATCACAATAAAAGAAATCTAAGAAGGCAACCAGACAGACCACTGTGGATGCACAGCAAAGTCAAAACAACAAATTCCCTACCTGTTCTCTTCTATAACTGCATAGGGAGAGAAATTCCATCTACATCACAAGGAAATCAATCTCAAGCAACTTTAGTAGGGTGCCAAAGGAGATAAAAATTCAAGTGAGTGACTAGTACAGTATTTCCAATGGAACATGAACTCTCAATGAAAGTGTGCTGGAAAAAACAGCAAGGTCCAATGAGAAAGAGCTAGCAGGCCAGAGTCCTTGAACTCAAGCCCCTCACACTCTTCTAAAGTAGAGGGATTCACACTAGGTTCCCCCTCTAGTGTATGCTAAGTAGGGCTAGGTACTACGCTAAGCAATCAAAAGTTTCTATCTAAATACAGCGTTTATTGTATCATTCTGCTTTATCTTGCAAGTACAAAAAGTGCCTTTCCCCCTTTTTACTCTTTTTGGTGAAAGAGATGTTTTTCAATTCTATATTCTCAGTGTTCTTCTAGAATAAGTTTACCCACCTGCAGAACCTTCATCCTCAACCTCAAGTCGTACCCTATCTCTTCTTTTCTTCTGTTTTCTAACCAGCCCTCCACTGAATGTGCAGTGATGTACACTGGTCTAAAGTCATGGAAATGAGTTACACAAACAAAAAAACATACACATGTGCATGAATGCACACATCAGTACGCTAACACCAGAAACTGCTTAAAACGTAAAGTGGGTCTATAGAGGGCTGTTCACACTGATGTTGATAATGAGAAATTACCTTAGGGTTTTCTGCAAACTTCTTCTTTGCCACTTTCCTAAGACTGTCCTCAATTCCCTTTCTGGATTTTGCCAGGATGTCCTCTGTTTGATCCACCAACACTACTGTATGGCCAGTTGCTGCAGCAACCTAGAATTGAAAAAAACAAAAACCTTTTAAAAGACAGAAAACAAAGAAAAAAACAATTTTATATGAACTCTATCAGCATTCACCCCTTACTAGTAATCAACAAATGAGTTAAGGAGCATCCCCAGGCTCACACAACAGATCAGAGGAGCTGGGATATTCTGGAATACGGTTCTGGAAGCCAAACTAGAACCCCTTCCCTGTGGTGAGCCTAACACTGTGCTAACCTGGTGAAGAAGCAGCCTTGCTCCTCAGAGCTGGAGCACCTGTGCTCCTAAACCTGTCTTTTTTGCAGTCCTTCAATCGGAAGCACAGAAGACTAAACTAATAATGGTGGCAAAAGACCCTGTTTCCAAGGGCAATTTAGGGAGAAGACTCCAATGAAAGTGAAGTCTTTGTTCATCAACCAATTGGTACAGTCAATTCCCTTCCTTCCTGGTGCCTCCTGGCCAGAGAACGATCCTGAGGTACAGGTATGTTTGGCAAAGGTGTTCCAAATTCATATACAACAATTTGGCTTAGTCAGGCAGTGGTAAGTGTAGCCCTGTTTCACCACAGCTAGTCAATGGCTTTGGCAAGGACATAAACCCGGGCATTGTGGCTAAAATAGGCCATCAGGTCACCTTACAGATAAGTGTAAGTGAATCAGTTCAAGCAAGAGGACACACGTGACCTATTACAAACATGATACAAGGATCTCGAAAGCCCCTGCAGAGCCGCTGCTTTGGGGCCTCTGGGCATAGACAGTGCATGGAGAAGGGCAGGTAACCATGGAAGAGCCAGGAGATGAAAATAAAAACTGGCCCAAACTATTGTTGTCATGTAAGAGTTTTGAAGCCAGGTAACTAAAACTCAAAACAGAACTAAAAGGAAAAGAAGCAGAAGCAAAGAACAAAACCTAAACACAAAGTGGTTCACATCCCAAAGCAAGATTTCCAATAAACAGCTTTGAAAATGGTAAGACAAGTTTTAAATGCAAGTGAATTATGACCACAACTATGGCTTCTCCTATGTGGTGAGTGCATGTCTGAACCTGTGGGACCTGTGGGTGGCACCAACACCTGGATGCCTACAGCTGCCAGGCCTGAAGGCTGACCAGAGCAGGACAACAGGGGAAAGAAGGACAAGTTATCTTGACAAAGGACAAAAGTGCACTAGCCTGTCATCACAGAAAGACTCAACACGCTGAAGGCAGGCAGCACAAGGTAGTGCAATGTCCCCAAGCAGAATGTCCATTGATCCAGTCCAACCCTCTTCCCTAAGTGACAACAGAGCAGGCCCAAAGAGACAACAACTCAAATCAGCTGACAGAAATCTGATCCACCAATTCAGTAAATTCAAAGTAAAAAAGACAGAGCCTTCTGACTTTGAAACAGCATAGAGAAGACTGAACGTAGGCCTGTGTCTGCTACCCTTAGAAGGCCTGCTTGCAAGGTGGACCTTGCTTAGATTTTGGAGGGTTCCTACCACTCCTGGATCATCTCAACTGTTTATGCAAACAATGTAGCTTATGCCAAATGCTCATTGCCCTTCTGAGAGTGTGAAATTGTAGAACATGTGGAGTAGAGGGTGCCTACATCATCATCCCTAATAAAAATATTAGATATCATTCTTACACATGTTGTCACAGCCTGTGACTGCACTGGGACAGAACTCTTGGATGCTCCTGCCTGGTGCTTGCACTTTGTCCCACCTCTCCCCTTTGCCACCTTGTGTCCTTTGCTGTAGTAAATCCCATCATAAGTATGACTGCATGCGCCCTTATGAGCCTTTCTAGTGAGACACCAAACCTAACAAAGGAAGGGTGGTGGAGAACCCATCCAGGAAACTAAAACAGAAATCTCAACTTCCAGGTGGAGCTGGTGCAGAAGCTGAACTGCTCTTCCATGAGCGGCCATGGGGAGTGGCCATGGGGAGTGACTGATGACAGAGTGAGGGTCATAGGTAAGGTACATCATGTGCAAGACAGGGGTGAGCAGAGGGGATGCCTTGGGGATTTTCTGTTCTTGTTTTGGCTCCTGCCTTACAGTCCCATTCCACACACGTGATTTTCACTTGGTTCCTCTCTTGATCTCTGTTCTAAGTCATTGCTTGAGTCAGCCAAACAGGATTCCTGGGTCTCCTAATCACAGAGGTGTCAACCCATGTCTTCCCCTTCACTTCCTGCCGGCATCACTCAGGTCTTTTCTGCTCTTCAAGGAGTTGGCACAAGATGGTGCCAAACCTGAAGGGAATACAGACAAAAAACCCCATGGTGGCAGTGTCCTTTTACGTAGGGAGTTTATACTCTCACTGAGAAAAACAAACCCAATGAGGTAATCCTCCATGGCTGGGATGTTGCATAAACTAGAAGCCATCACGTGAAGATGCCTGTTGGCCACCAGATCTCAGCAGGCTGTATAAGCAGCACACCTAGCATAGGCACAGCATCCTAAGGAGTGAGGATCAACTATATAGAAAGGGACCACAGCACACAAGGCAGGTGATACAACGCCAATATTCTAGACAGCCACTTTCTGAGTTACTGTACATTTGATGGTGATCATCACTGGACATTTTTGGTTAGGTTGCAGATAAGCCATAATGCTAGCCTTATAATTACTTTTTGTAAGCCTGTAAACAGAATCAAATCTAGAGAGGACAGATCCTCAAATAATCAAGTAAGACAAAACAAACATGTGCATTTAGAAAAACACCAAACTTCAAGCAGAAAATATTATCAGCCTAAATGCTGACATTTCACTACTACCCAAAGTCCTCTGATAAATATCCTTCTCTACACACACACACACACACACACACACACACACACAAACCCTACTCTGGCTCTTTCTCCACCCAGGCATCTGCAGGAGCACACCAGAGGCAATAACTAAGTGCAGACACTGGCCAAAACACTACTAATTCCAGGCTCTCCAGGCCATGTTCCAGGAGAGCGAGGTGCATGTGTCACATGATTATGTCGGTGTGACCAAATGTGTAAAACATCTGCTTATTTTCTCTTATCAACTAGAAGATACAGGCAGAATGAGCAGGGGCCAAACCTAACAGAGAGAAAAAGAAAAGACCTTCTTCCCAAGGTGTGAGCACCTATCACAGCCTACTCTGCAAACCCTGTCATCCTCATTCTGCCTCGGGGATCTGAAAGAGACTGCATCTCTTGGGGGAGCTTCAGCTCAATGGTTCTCCCCAGCTCCATCAAATGCCTGGAGCAATTTCTACAACAGTGGACTCTATTGTATAGCAAGAAACCACAACACTGCACAACTTCAAGCCATTCCAAGTGATAGCAGCATTTTCTTTTACTTCACCTGCAGAGATCAACCCAATAGAAAAATGTTCAAGTTCCTTGCAATCACTTCTAACAGATGCAAGGCCAGCAACTTCTTGAGGGCAACTTGTCATCTTATACATCGTTGCAAAGCCAGGTGCCTAGTGACAGTAAGCTCACAATGCACTAACTGCACACAGCCCAGCACCTGGTATGAATTAGTCACGTCATAAAAATCTACAGGATTAGGGTGGGACAGAGTGGCACTGGTGGTAAATCACCTGCCTAGCAAGCATGAGGACCTGAGTTCAACCCCCCAGTAGCATCCCCCACAAAAAAAAACCACAGGATTATGTGCCCAGTGTTCGTTGTTTATGTTCCCTTCCTACGGCTGGGTCAGTCTAAGAGTGCTACCACGGAGACAGACTCAGGCCTGGCTCTTATCCACATACAATCAGGACCCACATTCCAGACTGGTTTGACACACAGAGGCAACCTCAATCACAGCGAGGTGGCCACAGGCCTCCTGAAGGCTGGCTTGTTTCTTCCTGAATTATTAATGCCCTTGTCCTATTTCTCCTACGACAGCCAACAGAAATAAGTCCCTCTACCTCCCCTCAATACATAGAAAAGCATAACTCTTTAAGAAGAAAAAAGACAAATGCAGCAAATACAAAAGTGATTGTGTTTGGGTTCAAATCTGTGTTTTTCCAAGATATTACTGACTAATCCTACAACTCTGTTGAAGTAGACAACATCGATTTTGCAAAAGAAGAAACAGGATTAAAGAAAATCCCAATTTTCCCAAGATCACTCAGGCCACCAAGTCAGAATTCAAATTCTGAAATGCCCAGCTCTAACTTTTCTTGTAATCTAGTCAGAGGAGGACAAGGAATGTTGCCTTATGTGCTAAAACAACTAGCTTTTAAGATGCAGTAAACAATAAAATGCACTTCACAAAAATTTCAGATTACCAATGTTTTTGTATTTTTTTACCCCCCTGCCTTAATGACTATTTTGGTTTTTGTGATATTATGAAAAAGTCCTACTAAGTAACTAAATAACATGTCAGTTCTTCACCTTACGAAACTTCCATTCTATAGATGAGGAAAACTGAGGCGTAGAGTCTAAAATAACTTACCTACAATCCCACAGCTAGTAACTGAACAACACACCATCAGCAAGCATCTCCAGCCCAATCAAATTACAGTTGTGGTAACAGCAAAAATTACTTGGCAAACCAGGGCACCTATTCAGACACAGAGTGTTCTGTATCAATGTTACAGACTCAAAGCAACACAAGACACCCTATAAACACTCCAAGACCAGGTTTCTCAAGTGTGGGTTCCAGACCAGCAGCAATGTCCCTTAGAAACTTATTAGAAATGTAAAGCCCCAGATGCACTCAGACCCAGATAGTCACAGTCTGGGTAGGACCCAGTAAGCCATGGTTCAACAAGCCTTGCAAGTGATTCTGATGCTGGCTCAGCTCTGAGGGCCACTGCTCTAAATTCTTGTTCATCTGGCTGTAGATGAGAATCAGCTGGGGAACAACTGAACCAACCAAAGGCCAGTCCCCACCTGCAGATATTCTGGTTGGGCCTAGGCACTGGCATTTTAAAAACACCCACAGCTGGTCTCAATGCAGTCACTGCACCAAGCACTTCTCTGTGATATCCTGTTGGCCCCATCCCTGTTCCTCTGCCCATACAAGCCACTCCTGGCTTGCCAGTTATCTCCTAAAATCATTAGAGGCCAGTAAATCTTTATCCCTAAACCAGCACAGTTTCAATGTCTTCCAGCTGTTCTTTGTCCATGAAAAAGTTCCATACTTTATCCCAAAGTTACTATCCAAAAGTCCCCAAGTCCCCAAAGGGCAGCGCCCACCACAAGCCCCTTCTGCCTGGAATCCTAGAAAGCAAGGTCTTCCTCCACCTCTCCGAAACAGAACTCACTTCTTAATTCTTTTCTTGAAGGTCAGGCCTCACCTTTTGGCCCAGCTATATCCCAGTCTCTTCTGAATTGGCTCTCTTCTAGACTTGACCTTTGGTCACAATTCCATCTACCATGCCCTGTACTATTTCTTGCTTGCTTGTCTTCTCCTAGTTACTCCACTCCCTTGAGCTAAGGACCTCTCTTTTCCTTTCCACAAGCCATAAGGCTGGAGGAAAATCCAGAATCTTCTAGAGAAGAAATTTCTTAAGAGACTTCATGATCAACTGAAACCAGAGTCCATGGAGGATCACCACCCTAATGACAGCTGCCACTAAAGAGCATGACCCTGTGACAGACATAGGTCTATTTAACTTTATTTAATCAGTGCTCCCAGTTCAAATGCCAATTTTAGTGTTGCCACTTTATTATTTTTTATGTTCTCATTAGTATGTAACAGTTGTACATAGGGTTTCATTATATTTCCATATATGGAAGTATCACTTTATAGTTCTATAGTTTATTCTCTTGAAAATGAAATGATTATGATTTTAAAACTGAATTAAACCGGCACATGACTGTTTTTGATATTTAGAACAGGAAAAGTCATCATAGTTACCATTATACTATAACTGCTTCAAGGAGAGTATCCAGGCAATATACATATCCTCAGAATAAATATTGTGGTGACATTGTGATGGCACTCAAAGTCCTTATAACAATATTATCAAATTCCATGACTACTCCATTCTCTCACCACTTCTCTTTCTTCATCCTATTGCAAAATGTCCTGGGTGAGGCACTACACCTTACCTGGCTCAAATAATATGCATATACATCTATATAAACATTCATATCACCTTAATATGTTTATATTAATTTTAGGATCATCAATGAGAGGAAAACACAAATTTAAAAGTGTCTTATAGAACTTCTAGACCCCTCTCCCCAAATAAGCCTGAGACCCTAGTCTGAAAAACAACTTGATCTGATCTAACACTTCTGGTAAACAGGAGATCAAATGTTAAAAAAGAAGGTGTGCATGGTAAGTTACTGTATCAAATAAACATTTAAATTGAACACAGTACTGACACTTCTGAACTATCTGTAATGTCCTACACTCTTCAGGGGTACATTACTCCTTCAGCAGCAGCCTCCCATCTGGACTTCCAGCCTCCAGGCCCATCGCTCACCTTCTGAAAGTGCAACTCAAATGCTGTCTCCATGGGCTTACCCTCCTCCCTCCATCAGAGACCCAGGTCTTGAAGTATAAGACATGAACTCCTAAGGCTGTCCTATTCAAGTTCTTCAGCTGCTTCCTTTAGACCTCAAAACTTCTCTTTTCCTTCATTCCTTTCTTGCAAGAATTATCCCCGATTGCTGCTGAGGCTAACCTCTTTCCCAGGATAGATACAGTGGTTCATAGTTATAGGTTCCAAGTTCTCGTCTCCAATAAAATCCCAAGTTTTTCAAGTGATGGGCTCTTTTTTCATATTTTTAAAACATTTTCATTAGCATGTAACAGTTGTATAGGGGGCTTCATAGTGACATTTTCATATATGCTTACAACATACCTTGGTTAGGTCCATCCCCACTATCATTCTCTCTCATCTCTCCCCCCACATAAAATGATTTCAACAGGTTTCAATATTCTATCTTCAAATGGGCAAATGAACAGAAATGTTTCAAGGGAAGAGGTCCAAATGGCCAATAAATACATAAAGAAATGCTCACCATCCCTGGCCATAAAGGAAATGCAAATCAAAACCACACTAAGATTCTACCTCACTCAAGTCAGAATGGCTTCCATCAAGAACACAAACAACAACAAATGTCGGAGCGGGGTGTGTGTGTGAAAGAACCCTCACACACTTTTGGTGGGAATGTAAATGAGCACAACCACTATGGAAAGCAGTGTGGAAGTTCCTCAAAAAACTAAAAACAGAACTACCATCTGATCCAGTGATACCACTGCTGGAAGTGTATCTGACGAGACTGAGTCTTTATTTACAGCTCTTGTTACATGCTGGTTTAAAGCTAAGAGCAGAACAAGAAGTGCTATGTTTTTTTCTTGGCAGCCAAGCAACTGCAGTGAAGTATACAAACACTCTAGCTAATCAACAGTTTGAGTAAAAAAAATGCAGAGGTTATTAGAAAATACTTTCTGTCAAATGATCAAAGATTACAAATAAAAGACTTGGCTTCTTGGAGGTAATTTTGATACCCTGCCCAAACATATGTGCACCCTGGAAATGGAGCAGAACTGTCATTTGGAGTACCATGCAGGGTATGCCATTACATTCCTTCCTTCACTAACTACTGCCTGATACTGACTCAACACTTGCCTTGTACGTGGTTCTTAGCCCTGAGACAAAACGGAAACAAATCTCCAGCACTGAGAAAGTTTTCATTTGTCATCAATTATCCCATCTGATCCTTTGGGGGGGAGGCACATTATTTTCATTTGTAATAATAAGAAAACTGAAAGTTGACATGTGACTGGGATTTGAAGCTGGAGTTACCTACTCACGTGCTGTTCTTGACCCCAAAAGTCTGTCTGTGGGCAACAATCTTAACAACACTGAGCAGGACAAGGGCCAGACTCTGGTTCCCATGTGCCAATTTGGAGTTGGAAAATATTCCTTAACCTCTGCCAGCCATCTCCTTAGACAAAACTGGGGTAAAAGGATTGGTGGGAGGACTGAGTGAGTTAACCCAGGTTAGGCCCTGACAACAGTGTCTGGCAGATTATAGCAGCTTATTATTTGTATTCTAGACTGCCTCTTCCTCCTTTTACAAGGGAAAAAGGTCTATTATTGGACCTGGATACAGTCTCCTAAGGTAAACTACAGTTGATCTTAAGCAATACGACCTTAAACTGCATCCACCAAGATTTCTTCTTGGAGACTTACAACAATTTGAAAAAACTCACTGATGAATCCCATAGCCTAGAAATATCCAAAAAAACTAAAAAATAGTTAAGTATGTCATATGTATAAAAGTATATAACTGTCTATTTTATCATTTACTATTGTAAAATACAAACATACCTATTACAAGAAGCTAAAATTTATTAAAACTTATACCCACAAACACAGACCATACATGACACTATTTGCAGTCAAAAGAAATGTAAACAAAGTATCAAATCATAACTACATAAAATTTACTACAGTGCATACTGCACCACTGTATTGACCTCACAGCATCCTGGTGCTATTGCAGTGGGGAGTTATCTGCTTAAAGTATCCTGGCCGTTAGTCATCTCTGCATGAGCAGTGCATCTCTCCAGCAAACTGTGTATTGGACAGTATGAAGTGATCTCTCAGGGCCTTGGTTCACCATAAATAATACATTTAACAGACAAAACTCTGATAAGACTTTTTGTTATCAGTAAGCCTTCTGGCCAATAGGCTATTAATAGTTAAGTTTTGGGGCAGTCAAGTTATACAGCAGGAGCTGGGGATGTGGCTCAATATGGAACACTTCGCCTAGCAGACTCTAGGTTTGATCCCCAAAATGAAAAGCTGTGTACAAATTTTCAACTGCACAGAGACTGGAGCTAAGTCCTGCACTGTTCAAGGGTCAATTTTATTTATTTTGCTTTTGATCACAAGACCTGTTCTCCTTCCAGTTTTCATTTTTAAGTTTTTGCTCCTGTGTCCTTCCAGTTTTATAAACAGGCTAGGATCTTACTTCCTTAACCACTAAAGCCCTTCCATTACTGGGTGGCACAGTGGTATGTGAAGGAACAGAAGTTCTAGAACTAGATTTCCTAGGCTTAAACCCTTGCTGCTTTGTTTTAAATGCGTCCTCCAAAGTCAGGTGTTGCCAATGTGGTAGTATTGAGCCATAAGGATTTTAATAGGCTGGGAGGGCCCCTCCCTTGTGAACAGGACCAGGCATTCTTATAAAAGAGAATGACAGAAGGAGTTTGTCCAGCTTATTCTGCCACTCTTCTACCTGTGAGAACACAGCATTTCTCTTCTCATCACAGCCAGAAGGACCTCATTAGACACCAAACACCAGAACCTTGATCTTGGACTTCCCATCTTGCAGAACTGTGAGAAAATAAATGACTATTCTTCATCAAGTATCTAGTCTTAGGGATTTCGTTACAGCAGCACAAGGCCAACTAAGACATGAGTTAGTCACTTACTGTGGTGATCTGGGGCAAGTTTTGCAACCTCTCTATGACCTGTATTAAGGGAAGACAACAAGGGTGCCCATCTCATGGGACTTTATGAGGACTAAAGAAGTTACTACATTGGGGCTAGGGATGTAGCTCAGTGGTAGAACAGATGCTTAGCGTGAGCTACATGGTGGAAGGGACAGAGGGGACAACTAGCCCCCTTAAGACCTTTCGTAAGACCCTAATCATTCATGAAGACAGAGTCCTAGTTCCCTTATCACCTTCACTTAATACTGCTGCACTGGGGGGTTAAGTTTTAACACGAATTTTTGAGGGAACACAAACTTTCAAACCATAGCAGCTTCCTCTACCACCACTGCTGCTGAAATTACAGATAACTTGTCAATGGCTGCTATAATTTGAATATGGTTTATCTCACCAAAATCCGTGCTGAGCCTTAGTCCTCAATGCAGCAAATGTTGGTAATTAGTGTTGGTGGTGACAACTGGGACATGTTTGGGTTACGGGTACAGAGCCATAATGAATGGATGAATGCCTTTCTTGTAGGAATGGGCTCATTCCCCAGGATGCGGGCTAGTTATCATGATAACAGGTTGTTATAAAAGAGAGCCTGGCTTCTTTGGCTTTCTCTTGCTTCTCTTCTTCACGAACCTGCTTACCCTCCCATTTTCCATGAATTGAAGCAGCATGAGGCCCTTAACAGATCTGGTTGCTCAATCTTGGTCATTCCAGTCTCCAGAATTATGAGCTCAATAAACATCTTTTCTCAGGTACTGTTTTACCCATACACTAAGACAATGGTTTTCTAATAGCTGAGGTCAATGCCTATTCCTTAGCTTCACCTTTCATGTCTGCACAGCAATGCACACTGCCAATGAGGTTTTCATTTTGAATGAAACTTTGCAAATTTCTCATGATTCTGTTCCTTTTAGTCATATGAATGGACTTTTCTTGATCATCTCAGCCTCTAAACAAAGCTGTCCTTCAAGGTTTTGCTTCAATATTCTTTTCTTCAGGCACAGTATCCCTTCCTTCTGAAATTTCAGCCGTTCTTACGTTCCAAGCATGCCTGAAACCAACATATTCTATCCCAAGCTACAGTCATCATTGTGTCCTAAAAGCATTCTTCTTGACTTCCCTTCATGGTACCACTATTCTGCAAATTACAATTTGCTAAACACTTTTTTCCTTAATCCCAATATTTAACTACTGTCCCAAAGAGCTCTGCTCATTATTCAAAGCCCATTTCAAAAGTTAATCTCTCCATGAAGTCTTCTACCAATAGTAAAAGTCTGTTTCGAAACCTCAGAGCAAGATTTTTACTGCTCCTGTTACGTTACTGTACACCAAAGTAAAAGTATGGTATTTGGGTTTTTGTCAGTCTGCTTTTAAATTTAAATTCCCTGAATGACAGAAACTGACTTGGTCTTTGTATCCCCTGGCACTCACCACGTGCCTTGCCCAGGATAGCTGCTCAATAGCTTCTAAATCACAAGTGCTTTGAAGCACAGTAACACGACCTCATAGTCTTCCCCAGACACAGGGTACTTCTCCACCTTCCTGCTATTTTATGGCTCCAGGCTCCTGTCCATGTGGTTTCTTCTGCAGGGCATGTTCTTCCATATTGCTACTTGGGGGCCGCCAGGTCATCCTTCATGATCCAACAGAGGCTCTCTCCCCCTCAATGAAACATATCCCATCTCCTAAATAAATGACAGCAGTCATTTCTTTGTGTCTCTACTGATTTACAGATACAACACATCTTTTACGCAGCACTCCAAATATCAAGGTGTTGGGGGAGGTAACCAAATGTGTGTGCCACCAACTACTAATGGCTATATAATTATATAGTTACATAATATAGTTACATAATTGCAGCCCAACCCTTAGGATTTGAATGTAAAAAATAAAAAGGAACTGGTTATAGACTGTTTCTTATAAAAATTTCAGAAATTTGGTCATTAACACATAACATAGAATTTCTAAATGTGAAAAAGGAATGATAAATTAGAAACAGTAGTTGATTAATCAACCTTTGATTACTACTATAGTTCCTACTGTGGGACCTCTTCA